GACCTTTTATCGTGAAGACGTTTCGCCTACCAAAGACTTGAGTAAGTAATAAAGTCCCAGGTGAATGAAACGCCTTGATAAATGATAAATGATTTAGAATCGTTTCGGTCATGGTGATATTAGCAGCACACGAGGCCACTGGTTAGACAGATCATTCGAGGCAACCTTAATATAACCTACAACTAATTACAACTTATAACTACTACTGGAAGTTTTCCAAGAACAATTTGTTGGAAGTTTTGGTAAGATAATTGGCTATAACATCTGTAGACGTTATTACGAATGTTGGTTAAGCAACAGTAATGACGGAGGACATCGCATTTGTGGCTCTTGTTTACATTCTGTCAGTAAGATCTCTGCTCAGTGTTTTATCATCTTCTCAGTGTTTTATCATCTTCTCAGCGTTTTATCATCTTCTCAGCGTTTTATCATCTTCTCAGTGTTTTATCATCTTCTCAGTGTTTTATCATCTCAGTGTTTTATCATCTTCTCAGTGTTTTATCATCTCAGTGTTTTATCATCTTCTCAGTGTTTTATCATCTTCTCAGTGTTTTATCATCTTCTCAGCGTTTTATCATCTTCTCAGTGTTTTATCATCTCAGTGTTTTATCATCTTCTCAGTGTTTTATCATCTTCTCAGTGTTTTATCATCTCAGTGTTTTATCATCTCAGTGTTTTATCATCTCAGTGTTTTATCATCTCAGTGTTTTATCATCTCAGTGTTTTATCATCTCAGTGTTATATCATCTCAGTGTTTTATCATCTTCTCAGTGTTTTAAAATCATCTCAGTGTTTTATCATCTCAGTGTTTTATCATCTCAGTGTTATATCATCTCAGTGTTTTATCATCTCAGTGTTTTATCATCTCAGTGTTTTATCATCTCAGTGTTTTATCATCTCAGTGTTTTATCATCTCAGTGTTTTATCATCTCAGTGTTATATCATCTCAGTGTTTTATCATCTCAGTGTTTTATCATCTTCTCAGTGTTTTAAAATCATCTCAGTGTTATATCATCTCAGTGTTTTATCATCTCAGTGTTTTATCATCTCAGTGTTATATCATCTCAGTGTTTTATCATCTCAGTGTTTTATCATCTCAGTGTTTTATCATCTCAGTGTTTTATCATCTCAGTGTTTTATCATCTCAGTGTTTTATCATCTCAGTGTTTTATCATCTCAGTGTTTTATCATCTCAGTGTTTTATCATCTCAGTGTTATATCATCTCAGTGTTTTATCATCTCAGTGTTTTATCATCTTCTCAGTGTTTTAAAATCATCTCAGTGTTATATCATCTCAGTGTTTTATCATCTCAGTGTTTTATCATCTCAGTGTTTTATCATCTCAGTGTTTTATCATCTTCTCAGTGTTTTAAAATCATCTCAGTGTTATATCATCTCAGTGTTTTATCATCTCAGTGTTTTATCATCTCAGTGTTTTATCATCTCAGTGTTTTATCATCTCAGTGTTTTATCATCTCAGTGTTATATCATCTCAGTGTTTTATCATCTCAGTGTTTTATCATCTCAGTGTTTTATCATCTCAGTGTTTTATCATCTCAGTGTTTTATCATCTCAGTGTTTTATCATCTCAGTGTTATATCATCTCAGTGTTTTATCATCTCAGTGTTTTATCATCTCAGTGTTTTATCATCTCAGTGTTTTATCATCTCAGTGTTTTATCATCTCAGTGTTTTATCATCCACTGGTCCGTCCCGGTCGGGGTGGACCAGTGAATAATAAAACCTTATTAAATAAAAGGAAAAAAAAGAAACAGGTCTCTACATGGTTATGTAGTCTACATGGTTATGTAGTCTACATGGTGATTAAGTCTACATGGCAATGTGATCTATATGATAATTAAGTCTACATGGTAATGTAGTCTACATGGTAATGTAATCTACATGGTAATGTAGTCTACATGGTAATGTAATCTACATGGTAATGTAGTCTACATGGTAATGTAATCTACATGGTAATGTAGTCTACATGGTTATGTAGTCTACATGGTAATGTAGTCTACATGGTAATGTAGTCTACATGGTAATGTAGTCTACATGGTAATGTAGTCTACATGGTAATGTAGTCTACATGGTAATGTAGTCTACATGGTAATGTAGTCTACATGGTAATGTAGTCTACATGGTAATGTAGTCTACATGGTAATGTAGTCTACATGGTAATGTAGTCTACATGGTAATGTAGTCTACATGGTAATGTAGTCTACATGGTAATGTAGTCTACATGGTAATGTAGTCTACATGGTTATGTAGTCTACATGGTAATGTAGTCTACATGGTAATGTAGTCTACATGGTAATGTAGTCTACATGGTAATGTAGTCTACATGGTAATGTAGTCTACATGGTAATGTAGTCTACATGGTAATGTAGTCTACATGGTAATGTAGTCTACATGGTAATGTAGTCTACATGGTAATGTAGTCTACATGGTAATGTAGTCTACATGGTAATGTAGTCTACATGGTAATGTAGTCTACATGGTAATGTAGTCTACATGGTAATGTAGTCTACATGGTAATGTAGTCTACATGGTAATGTAGTCTACATGGTAATGTAGTCTACATGGTAATGTAGTCTACATGGTAATGTAGTCTACATGGTAATGTAGTCTACATGGTAATGTAGTCTACATGGTAATGTAGTCTACATGGTAATGTAGTCTACATGGTAATGTAGTCTACATGGTAATGTAGTCTACATGGTAATGTAGTCTACATGGTAATGTAGTCTACATGGTAATGTAGTCTACATGGTAATGTAGTCTACATGCCTTTCTACCGCAAGAAAATGTTATCATCAGGGTTAAGACGGAACCACCTGTCTGTCTAATGTATCCCACTCTGACCACCATCCTGTTGTCATTTCTGTTTCATTATACACACTCTCTCTCTCTCTCTCTCTCTCTCTCTCTCTCTCTCTCTCTCTCTCTCTCTCTCTCTCTCTCTCTCTCTCTCTCTCTCTCTCTCTCTCTCTCTCTCTCTCTCTCTCTCTCTCTCACGTCAAACAGCCTTTCCCCTTGTGTCAGTCCCTCTCTAACTTCTGTGTTTATGTATCCACGTATTTTATACTTTGTGATCCGGTCCACTCTAGTTCCCCTTCAATTCCCTTAACCTGTTTTTAAATCTCATCTCTCTCTCTCTGGGTTCTGAGTGCAACTCTTTAAGGCAGACATTTGAACTTTCTAAATTTAATTGTACTCATGAGGATGAGGGGGAGGGGGGATTCCTGCTGGCCCCGTATATTGTACCCCGTCACCTCACTGACTTAACATTCTCTACTCTGCTGTCATACTTTTAGTTCTCATATATGTGTCAGAAATGAGCACGTCGCAGGTGTTAGAGTGTTGGTGTGAGCCTCGGGTGACGCCCAGAGTGCTTTAAACTTTTTGATGCTGTGAGTTGATTCACTCTCAGATGGTACTCTGGTACCTAGCTTCACTCTCAGGTGGTACCTGGTGCCTGGCTTCACTTTCAAGTGGTACTCTTATCCCTGGCTTCACTCTCAGGTAGTACTCTAGGTTTTGCAGCGTCTGTTCACCTATTTCATCATCACATGATGATCCTACCACTGGTGATCATCATCACATGATGATCCTGACACTGGTGTTCATCACATGATGATCTTGAGACTGGTGTTCCGCACATGATGATCCTACTACTGGTGTTCATCATTACATGATGATCCTGACACTGGTGTTCATCACATGATGATCTTGAGACTGGTGCTCCGCACATGATGATCCTACTACTGGTGTTCATTACATGATGATCCTGACACTGGTGTTCATCTCATGATGATCCTACGACTGGTGTTCGCCATCACATGATGATACTGACACTGGTGTTCATTATTACATGATGATCCTGACACTGGTGTTTCTCACATGATGGTCCTACCACTGGTGTTCATCATCACATGATGATCCTGACACTGGTGTTCATCGTTACATGACGATCCTGACACTGGTGTTCATCACATGATGATCCTGACACTGGTGTTCCTCATCACATGATCCTGACACTGGTGTTCATCACATGATGATCCTGATACTGGTGTTCCTCATCACATGATCCTGACACTGGTGTTCATCACATGATGATCCCACCAGCGGTCAAACATCTTGTTCCCATTTCTCCTTGCATTTTCTGGGGATGATAGCAGGCCTTTTTCTCGAGGCCTACCTGGAGTTTCTCTTCTCTCCAGCTCTTGTTCTTATCAGTTTTATGTCAATTAAGAAACAGTGACAAGCGAGATTCGATCCCTTCTGGCGGGTCACTGACACGTATAAGGAACAATGGGGGTTCTGATGCTGAGTCTTGGGGAACCCCACTCGTTACTCTCTCTCTCTTCCATTCTGATGTTTCTCATTGCTTATTGTTATCCCTTCTTCTGTTTATCTGAGAGAGAGGGAGAGAGAGAGACAGAGAGAGAGAGAGGAGAGAGAGAGAGAGAGAGAGAGAGAGGAGGGAGAGAGAGGAGAGAGAGAGGAGAGAGAGAGAGAGAGAGAGAGAGAGAGAGAGAGAGAGAGAGAGAGAGAGAGAGAGAGAGAGAGAGAGAGAGAGAGCAATCAATATGCAATTTGCCCCAAAACACGAATCTATTACTCATGAGCGGTATCGACCCGTCTCACGGAACAAATTCAGCAACACACACCTGTGTACCCCGCTCCTCCCACAGGTGAATCACCACTCACCCCAGGGAAGTTTATCACACTGCGTTCTCCAGGATAAAACACGGAATATGACACATACATAAACTCCCCGTGGTTATCCCGTTCCTATACAGTAATGCAACAATGATATTGTTGCATTAATGCATTTACGATGGTTTGGGGAGGTAATATGTGTGACGAAAGGGAGATAAAGCGCATAGGTAACTTGTATGGGGAGGGATACAGTTGGGGATAGACGTGGATAGGGGGGAGCCTGAGGGAAGGACCCGTCAGGGTCACCCGGAGCAGGTGGGAGGCGATCAGTGTGTGGATAGACGCTGTGGAGAGTGGATGTGTGTCGCTCGCTCCTCCTGTCCTTTACCCATGTGATTCACAACTTTCTCGCCGTCTTCCTAATACACATTGAATGAGGGAAGAAAATGAGTGTGCCTCGTTTTCGTGTGTGAGTGCATCATTATCTCGCGTGTGTGAGGGGTGGAAATGAATGGGAGGGTGAGGGAGATATCTCTATATACCAGTGTAACCTCCAGTTTTTTTTTTTGGGGGGGGAGGAGGGGCTGGTCAGGAAGTGCTGACGGGATATTTTCCGCTAGCTGGCGAGTGTTTTTTTTTTTACAACAAGGAAGTGCAGGAGTCATGCACTTACCACCTGAGATAAGTGTGTTATTGCAAGGTTCCGCTAGTGCCTTGTTGCAACGGCATTGTATCGTTAACATAGGATTATTAGATTTTTGTCTCCGAAGTGATAAGGCACCTAAACTACTGGGAACAGTTGAAGATCCTTGATCTGTATTCCCTGGAACGCAGGCGAGAGAGATACATGATAATATACACTTGGAAGGTCCTGGACGGATACCAAACCTGCACACGAAGATCACTCCATATGAAAGCAAAAGTTTCGGCAGGAGAGGCAACATTCCCCCAGTGAAAAGCAGGGGCGCCACGAGTACACAGAGACAACACAATAAGTGGCCGGGGCCCAAGACTTTTCAGTTGCCTCCCAGCATACATAAGGGAGATTACCAATAGACCCCTGGCTGTCTTTAATAAGGCACTGGACAGGCACCTAATGTCAGTACCTGACCAACCGGGCTGTGGTTCGTACGTCAGCTTGCATGCGGCCAGCAGTAACAGCCTGGCTGATCAGGCCCTGATCCACCATGAGGCCTGGTCTCAGACCGGGTCGCGGGGGCGTTGACCCCCGAAACCCTCTCCAGGTAAACTCCAGGAGGGTCCGGAATCGTTCCCCGGCACGGGTGAAACGTTGGTCATGTTTCCTCACACCTACTGTCCCTGTTCACCTAGTAGTAAGTAGGTACCTGGGTGTTAGTTGACTGTTGTGGGTGGCATCCTGGGGGACAAGATTAACCTAAGTTGAAAGAAATGCTCTGCATAGCCTGGGACTTTAGTTATAGCATGCCAGTGATGACAGCTATGGTCTGTAATCGTTGTATCAAGTACTTATAGAAATAAAGACTATTATTATTATTATTATTATTATTATTATTATTATTATTATTATTATTATTATTATTATTATTATTATTAACAGAGAACTGACCTCAGTTCCCTGAGGTCAGTGGTCAAGAGAGGTCATACCTGTCCTGAGTGTTACAGAGCACCACGGCTTGCTTTTGTAGTGTCTTAGAGACATAGTTCAAGGTGTTGAAGGAGGAGGTTCTGCCTCTCAAGGAGGAAAATAAGAAGCTGAAAATTAGCCTGGAAATAAGTCACTTTGACTGTTTTGGGTCATCCTAGGTTCTCTGCTGCTATGTATGATAATCTACGTAACTATTTGTGTATACCTGAATAAACTTAGCAGTATATGTGAGGTGGCTGGGGTTAGTGAAGGGAGATAGGTTACAAGCAGTGAGAAGATTGACAGGTGTTACAAGTGGGAAGAAGTTTACAGTAAAGGAAGAAACATCAATGTGAAGAGTGTTAAAAGAGAAGATTTGAATGTAGGAAATTGCTTCTCTGTTCTCCAGGACGAATGTAACAGATATAGGAAGGTGAGACAGAGGGTGTGTTTCCCAGGAGCTGGTGTTGGTGACATAGTTAACAGGTTGGATAATATCAGGTCAGGTAATTGGAACAAGTCCATTATCTGCCTCAGTGCTGGTGGAAACGATACTGGAAGGGCATGTGACAGGAGCTGTTAGATAAGTACAGGTTAACTATAGATTTAATTAGGTGTAGGGGGGGTTCCGATCATACGTAGCATTTTGCCTAGAAGAGGAGTGGGCAGTGAATGGATGTCTAGGGCATTTTGTGTAAATTATTGCCTAGACAGGTACTGCAAAGAACTTGCAATCCAGTTTATTGACATACAGGACAGTTTTGATGGCAAACATGATATGTATTCAATAGATGGGGTACATCTTTCTGGGGGAGGAGTGGTATCGGTATCAAATTCTGTCGGGGAGGCCGATGCTGAGTTCTCTAGGACTTTAAATTGATAAACGATAGAGGTATGGGTGTGTGTGTGGGAAACTAATGGGCTACAGAACGAGGGATGAAAGAGGTAAGAATTGCCAAGATACCTCAGGGATATGTTCAAGGGGCATTATTCATCATAAATTTATTAATAAAAACAATGGAATTATTCAACAAAGAGAGACAGTAGAAGGGAGCGACTTTCTTGATACGAACCAGGATTACTTTTTTAAAACAGTTTGTGACAGAGCTAGCTAGAAGAAACAACCTGCTTGACTTAGTTCTTGCCAACAAGGAATCACTAATTAATAATCTTGAGGTTAATGATGAGACTGGGAAAAGTGATCACTAATCATTCATTCTCAATATATCATGGAATTACCTTTATAACTACATCCAAGTCAAGGTCCTGATTCTCGCTTGGCGATGTCATAGGACTGAGGGATTATCTAGGCGGAGTGACCCGGTGTGACCTGACAAGTCATTATCCTGTGGGTCAGGAAGGCGATGATGGTTGTTAATGTGGCATTTTCAGAGCATAGTTCAAGCCGCCCAGGCAACGTATGTCCCAAACTGGAAAATTAGATCAAACAAAAATGACCCAGAATGAATAAACAATAGATTATAACATCTCATAGGCGTTTACAGGCGAATCAAAAGAGGAGAGTGGCACTTAAAAATCAATATATTCAGTCAAAGAGAGAAAGGAGAAAATAAGAAAAGCCAAAAGTTAAAGTCGCAAGGGATTCGAATCCCAAGTCAAAAGGTTTCTTTATAGGAGTAAGATTAGGAGATAGATAAGCTCAGTTCAGCTTACCGTCAGTGACATGGAAATGTGTACAATCTTCAACACTTATTTCCTCTCAGTTATTATGCTCGAAGTAACTAGAGAAATTCCTGAAATCAAAAATTACATAGGCCAGGACGAAAATAAGTTATGCACCATTAAAATCACTAGTGACATGGGGTTCAGACGAATAGACAGATTAAAACCAAACAAATCCCCGGGCCCTGATAAACTGTTCTCAAGGGTTTTAAAGTAATGTAAGGAGAAACTTAGCAAACCATCAGCTAGTCTTTTCAACATATCACTACAAACTGGCATAGTGCCGGATAAGTGGAAAAATGGACTCCAGGCTGAGTGACTGACTACCTCACACTCCTCATCTTCCCCCGTTTCTCTGCACTGGACTGAAGAAACCACTGGCTGGCGAAAAGTTCCCAGAATAAAGATACCTAAGTGTTTGCACAAAGTGTCTTATTTATTAAGGAATATAAATAACAGGAGTCCTCAAGCTATTCTACAACTCTAATTATCGTAGGTTAGGCCTCACTTAGATTGTGCTGCACAGTTCTGGTCCCCATATTACAGAATAGACATAATTGCGCTGGAAAACGTACAGAGAAGGATATTATAGTTGATTCTATGTATCAGAAATCTTTCCTACGTGTATAGACTGAGGGCACTGAATCTGCATTCTCTGGAAAGACGTAGAATTAGGGGGGTATATGACTGAGGTGTAAAAATTAAAGACGGAAATAGATATAGAGATTATTATTATTATTATTATTATTATTATTATTATTATTATTATTATTATTATTATTATTATTATTATTATTATTATTAATTATTATTATTATTAATATTAATATTATTATTATTATTATTATTATTATTATTATTATTATTTAATATTATTATTAATATTATTATTATTATTATTATTATTATTATTATTATTATTATTATTGTTATTATTATTATTATTATTATTATTAACACTGAAAACTTCAGTTGAAAGACAGATTACGAACATCTTAGGTACTCGACAAATCACTGTTTTCTCTCTCTCTCTCTCTCTCTCTCTCTCTCTCTCTCTCTCTCTCTCTCTCTCTCTCTCTCTCTCTCTCTCTCTCTCTTCTCTCTCTCTCTCTCTCTCTCTCTCTTTGCTTCTTCATTCTTTGGACATTCTCTGACTCATTACATAAATTGCTGCGCATTATGACTACCCTTGACATGATCAGGTAGCACGTTTCACTCGTTTATCTCTGTGTATTAGACGGTCTACACATGTTAGTGGTTTAATCCCGACAAGTTGTTGATATGTAAGACACGTGTTCCATAGTTAAGCATTTTTATTCTGAAACGTTTCGCCTACATAGTAGGCTTCCTCAGTCGAATACTGCTATTCTCCTCTACATTCTGCTGAAAAAGCCTGCTGTGTAGGCGAAACGTTTCGGAATAAAGATACCTAACTGTCGTAGTAGAAGAGGTTGGAGGCCTGGCCACCTACTGTAGGCACTACGAAAGATTTTTTTTGGATTCCCGTCTACATAAGCACACTGATTACAGCCAGTCGTTCCATTTAGTACAGTACAGGCTGCCTGTAGTGCCTAGCGTCGACAGAATTTACCCCCGAGATATTCCGGACACTGATTTGTGAGCGATGTTGTTCACATGGGTGAGTTTCATTTGTTTTACTCTGTCACTTTAGATATTCCCAGTTGTAAATCATCCTGGCATGAAACACACCGTCATATTTCGGATTATTTGTTTCTCTTCGCTTATTTTGTTGCTTTAAAGAACTACGGGGGGAAAAAAACGAGAAAAATGTGCATGACACTGTATGAGAGCTGGTAGACACCGTGCTTGAGCTGGTAGGCACCGTGCCTGAGCTGGTAGGCACCGTGCTAGAGCTGGTAGACACCGTGCTAGAGCTGGTAGACACCGTGACTGAGCTGGTAGACACCGTGCTAGAGCTGGTAGACACCGTGACTGAGCTGGTAGACACCGTGCCTGAGCTGGTAGACACCGTACCTGAGTTGGTAGGCACCGTGCCTGAGCTGGTAGACACCGTGCTAGAGCTGGTAGACACCGTGACTGAGCTGGTAGACACCGTGCTAGAGCTGGTAGACACCGTGACTGAGCTGGTAGACACCGTGCTAGAGCTGGTAGACACCGTGACTGAGCTGGTAGACACCGTGCCTGAGCTGGTAGACACC